GCTGGTCAGTTTCAGCAGCGGCTGAATCTGGACGCCAGTTCCGACTTACATACAGATTCAACTTAAGAACAAACCTACAGTCCCTATCTTGTACGTAACCCGGGGACTGCCTGTATACATGTTACTAACTCAATTTCAACGGTTCCCTCAAAGCCTTTACTATTCCAATACTACATTATTTACACAAAACTTCCCTTGAAGCTGGTCAGTTTCAGCAGCGGCTGAATCTGGACGCCAGTTCCGACTTACATACAGATTCAACTTAAGAACAAACCTACAGTCCCTATCTTGTACGTAACCCGGGGACTGCCTGTATACATGTTACTAACTCAATTTCAACGGTTCCCTCAAAGCCTTTACTATTCCAATACTACATTATTTACACAAAACTTCCCTTGAAGAAAGTGTGAGATTTTGAACCTCTAGGACTGCAGAATTGGCAATTGTGTACTTATCATTAGCTCATGTGCAGGACATGGCATTGGTGTTGACCTTATATGTACTCCCGTGTCAGTGACTAGAACCTTGTCCTTTTTTAACATAGTATCAGGATACCAGAACTATTCTCTGTTCTTTTTGCAATGAACAAAATCCAAAGAGCCCTTCTATTAGTGCAGCAACCTTTTGCATTGACATCAAAGTGCCAGTACTGGTTATGAACACACATCCAAAAGTGAGACTTGATCTCTAAGCCTGCTTTCTTAGATCAGCTGAGACATTTATTAGTGATACTTTAAAAAAATTTTCTAGAAGTTTATAAAATAATGAATGCTTTTCAACAAGTTACCATTTCCATTCTGTTCTGCAGAGCTCTGTTCTCTGTTTTCTACCAATTCTGCCCTGGGAATTTCTGTTGGTATCATAAATGCACAATATGAAACTAAGAGCTTCATGGTGAATCTGACCGAAGTATTTTGTTCTTAAAGATTAAGAACATAAGAATGGCCGTATTGGGTCAGACCAAAGGTCCATCTAGCCCCGTAGCCTGTCTGCTGACAGTGGCCAGCACCAGGTGCCCTGCAGGGGGTGGACCGAAGACAATGATCAAGTGATTTGTCTCCTGCCATCTGTCTCCAGCCTCTGACAAACAGAGGCCAAGGACACCATTTTATCCCCTGGCTAATAGCCTTTTATGGACCTAACCTCCAAACTCTGTTATAATCCTAGCCTTCATAGCCTCCTCTGGCAAGGAGTTTCACAGGCTGACTATGCGCTGTGTGAAGAAAAACTTTCTTTTATTAGTTTTAAACTTGCTACCCATTAACTTCATTTGGTGTCCTCTAGTTCTTGTATTATGGGAACTAATAAATAACTTTTCTTTAGTCGCTCTCTCCACACCACTGGGCCAAATCCAGATTCCAGACTAGAAAACATAAAGGAGAAATATGAATTGTGTCTGCCATGACTCTGACACTCCTCCCATTACCTTCCAAGAGATAGGTACAACATGAAGATCTGTCGCATCAGGATAAAACAGAACTTTCATTCCTCAAAACCTGCATGACAGGAGTCTCAGAGGGTTGTGTACCCTAGCAGGCAGGGTGTGATCTGCAAGTACATCCCCATGCCTGGTAATCACCGCCCTGCCCCATTCTGTATGCACAAATACAGAGCTAGAGAAATCTTGAGCGGTGTGTGGAGTAACTGTCAGCTATAGGGATGCTAAATTGTGTGTCATCAGCTAAATGAGTAGTCGATGGAATTTCCATTGACTACTCGATTAGTTGATAAGGGAGGAAACTGCAGAGCCACAGTGGGGTTAGACCTGGGAGCTAGCCCTGCTGCATCTCTGCCTTTTAAATGTATTAAGAGCTTCTTAATATATTTAAAAGGCAGAGGCATAGCGGGGTGATGGGCACAAGCCAGGAATCAGCTGATTCCTGACACGTGCCCTGTCCCCTGCTGTGCCTCTGCCTGCCCTGTCCCCCCAGACAGTGCTGGGGGGAAGCAGCTTTTAAACTGGCTCCCCCCAGCATCAGCCCCTGCTCTCCCCACTCACTGCCTCTCTCTGATAGAGGCAGCAAGGGGGGTGGGGAAGCAACTAATTATGTCACTGCTCAACTACCCGATAAGCATAAGTTTATCAGGTAGTCAACTAGTTGCTTACATTCCTAGC